GGAAATTCTGTTTCTTTGGTTATGGGGTGAGGCCACAACATTAGTAACAAAGAAACAGAATTTCCGGAGGATGAGGCCCAGAAATCAGGATTTTAAAAAGATTCCCAGGTGATTCTAATGTGCAGCCACGGTTGAGAACCACTGCTGTAGAGAGATGTGAACACAGGCTGAGAGGTCAGTGGCCCTTGGCTCCTGGGCTGGTGGGCCCCCTCTGGCAGCGCTGGCTGCTGAGCCTCCTGCCCAGCTTGGTAAGGGAAGGGGCTGAGCAGCTGTGCTCTAGGCGGCCCGGTGCAGAGGCTCTAACTCACCCTCTAGCCCAGCCGTGGACAAACTACGCCCCGCGGGCTGGATCCGGCCCATTTGAAATGAATAAAACTAAAAAAAAAAAAGACCGTACCCTTTTATGTAATGATGTTTACTTTGAATTTATATTAGTTCACACGAACACTCCATCCATGCTTTTGTTCCGGCCCTCCGGTCCAGTTTAAGAACCCATTGTGGCCCTCGAGTCAAAACGTGTGCCCACCCCTGCTAGCCCGTTGGTGGGTGCGGGCACACAGCTCTCCTGTTTCACAGACGAGGACACTGACTTGCCCGGGGCCCCTTGGAGGGAGAAGCGTCAGGGTCTGGTCCTTACGGAGTGGCTGGAGTGTGCCAGGCCCTGTGCTAGGTGTCGGGGACGCGTGGGGCTGGCGTCTGGAGGACAGCAGGCAGCACCCCCCCGGGAGCTGCCCAGGAACCAGGCCCGTGAGGAGGCAGGGCAGGAGGGTGGGGAAGGGCTCTGTTTGGAATCGGGTGCTCAGGAGGCCTCCCTGGGAAGGTGGCGTTGAAGTCAAGACCAAGCAGAAGCGAGGAGGGTTCGAGTGAAAGGAGCAGTCGGGCCGAGGCCTGTGGTGCCTGCCGGCCTCGGGCAGCGGAGGCTGGAGGGACGAGCGGTGGGTCATGTAGATGTTGTCAGGAGGTCCTGGGGCAGGTGGTGTGAGGCCCTGGCAGGCGTCGTGAGGCCTTGGCTGTGACTCTGAGTGAGGTGGGTGCCCAGGAGGGTCTTGAGCAGAGAGTAGACGGGCGGTTCCAGGCTCCCCTGGCTGTGGGCCGGGCAGTGCGAGCAGAGGGGCGGGAATGGCCCCTGCAGGCAGTTCTGAAGGAGGCCTGGCTAGGTCTCGCTGGCACGGGCTGTGAGAGGATGCTCGACTCAGGCTGGTCAGCCCTCAAGTCCAGGTTCGGAAACGCTAGCAGTGTGTCACCACTTCATAGTGGGGAAAGCAGGGCGCCCAGCCTGTAGGCAGCTAAGCCAGAACCGTGCCCACCCTGGATGGCCCTTTCTCTGGCCTTCCCTCTCCCCTCGCCACCAGGGCTGAGCGCCCCACTTGCTTCAGGGTGGGTCTGATGCTGCTGTCCCCAGAGTCTGTGGCAGCGGTAGAGTCAGTCCCCGTGCTGACCGGGGACGGGGGCGAGAGGGTCCCTGTGTGAATGCCCATGGCACTGGCCAGGGCAGTACCGCAGGCCTTGACCCCAAAATGGCACCGCTGGCTGAGCACCTGCTGAAGCTGCGCCACAGACAAGCTGCTGGCCCTGCCTTGAGGCGGTGTCCACTGGCCACTCTTCTGCGGTCGCCTGGGTCCCCCAGGGTCCACCCCCTCCAGGCAGACGTAAGGGCCACGTCAGGAAGATCAGAGCTGTGTGTGACACCCGCCGGCCGAGTCCCGGGCCTCAGTCTCCTGGAGGCGGAGAAGGAAGCACATGGAGCAGAGTGGCACCAGCAGGGACCGCGTGCGCAGACACGGCTGAGGAGGCCTCCGCGTCATCCACCTCCATCAGAGCATCTGCGCGGGGACAGGCGAGGAGCACCCGCCATCTCTGCGTCGCTGCCACCACAGCCTGCGGGAGGCCCTGGGAAGTGCCGCTGGACCAGCAGCAGGTCCTCCAGGCAGCGCTGTGTGCGCACCCGCCAGGCCAGCTTCCAGAGGTGCTCTCCAGGCCGGGGCGGGCGGAGGAGGGTTCCTGGTGCCCGGAGAAGGTGCTCTCTTCCCGGTCAGCTGCACGGCCACCCTGACGTCATCCATGAGATGTGCACCGAGAAGCACGCCCAGCTCGGCTATGAGGTGTAGGTGTGCCCAGCAGCGGGCACACCCGGGCACTCGCAGACACAGGCAAACCCGAATCCTTGTGAATCAAGCCGCAGGCCGCCCTGGCCGAAGGCTGCAGGGGACAGCCCTGGGTTTTAAAAGTCATTTTCTGGGCCCGTCCTGATGGGGCGGGAGACAACCATCCTGTTCGGAATCACCTTTGGACTTTACCTCCGCTTGTGGCAAAAGTCAGTCGGTGCTTTTTTGTTTTTTCCCCCACACGGAGCATAACTCAGGGAGCGTGTCATACTCCTCACTTTAAAAATAAGTGTGTGTCCTTCTAACGATGTTTTGGGTATTTTAAGGACCATGAGGAGTTTGATTTGAAATTACACAAGACCCCTCTTGTGGGAGTTTTTTTAAAAACAAACTGTGTGTTCTGTGATTGCCCAGCCTCATGTCTGTTGTTATAGACCCGC